CCCCCAAAAAAAAAAAACCCAACAAGCAAACCCAAAAAACCCAGGTTTACCCCCAAAAAATCAGTGTTGGCGTTGGGCAAGCGCCGAGGCGCAGGCTGGCGGCGCGGGGGGGACGGGTGCTGCGGCTGCCCCAAAGGCTCCCGTCTCCTACGTGTAAAAAACAAAGGTGAGGCTCAGTCCCCAGTTATTCTCCAAATAACTCCGTGCAAATCCACATCTCGACTCCCATCCGCGTTCGTGCCTCGCGTGCTTCTCGCCGTACGTGCGTGTATATATATTTGTTTTGGTCCTGAAAGCGTTGTGTTAAATCAGTAGCGGTGGCGAGCGAGCGTGGTATTTTAACAGCCCAACAGGGTTTGGGGTGTCACCCCCCATTGTCTTCGCTGATAATCTCTTGTCGGTGGTTTGATAATGGCTTTATTTATTGTTATTTTCGTGTCACAACGGGGCTGGGCTGAGCAGACACTGCAGGGGCTCATCTTGATGCGCGGGTCTCGCTCGGCAGGATTATCTCATGCTGCCTGCAAGATGCTGCCCAAACCTCTCCGGGGTGCAGCGTCTCGCTTCGAGCCTGTTTTGGGTTTTCAAATCGGGCAGGGCAGTTCTTAGGAGCCACAACTGCAGGAGCAGAGCCTTGGTATCTCTCTCTTAATAACCCAAACTCTAATCAACGCTCAGAGGAGGAACAAAAGAGAAGTCGTGCGAACTGAAATGCTTGTCTGCAGTACGGTGAATCGGTTCGATGCATGGGGACTGTGTTCTGTTTGTAAGATAAGCCGGTTGATCGCTGGGGATGTAGCTTGTCTTAAAATGGCTTTAATTGTCACTGGTGAGACTGGCTCGTGCTGCAGATCAGCAGCTGGAAGTCTTCCCCTTTACTAAAGGGGACATGAATTAAAATAAGTTACATTTGAGATGCCGCTGACCTACATTTGTAACCTGGGTGTAAGGTCGTCTTTACCCGCCCTGCCCTTCAGGAGCGAAGGAGCCCAAAGGCTGAATCGATCCGCTGCCTCGCAGGTGGCCTCGTGAAGCCCCGAATCGGTGATGACGCTGCAGTGTCCTAACGATCTGCTTTGTATCGCAACGCAGCGGCCGCAGCCTGGGCTTGGCCCTTCTAGAGAGCCAAATCTCTGAGCTGGACGTTAATTGAAGAGTTAAGAGAGACTTGCTGTTATTTCCTCATTTCCGTAGCCCTGCGTGTTCCCACCACCATCTCTCCTTCCTTTTCCTTAGGCTGATGCCGGAGAAAGGCCGAATACCGGTGGCTTTCCCTTAGGTCGTGTCCCTCGGGTTTGCCTGGGGTCGGTCTTTCCCCGGTGTCAGAACTGGGAGAGAAGAGAGCGAGATCCCGGGCAGGGTTCCGGGCTATTTCCAAGGCAGGATGATGCTTCTCTTGCAGAGGGAGAAATTACAGTTCTTACTGCATCGGATTCGGTCCTGTTCACCAGGGCTTTTGTACCTGCATGCTTCTAGCAGAAGCAGAATCGCATTCAGCGGTTGTTTTCGCATAGCGAAGATGTTTGTGTGTGTTTTTCCTGCTGCGTTACCTGGTATTTTAACTGACGGGTGACTCCACCCAAGCAGCATTTTTTTTCCACGGTGGCAAGTGAAACACTTGGGTTTGAAAGGCACTGTACGGTTTTATTATTGCGCTGGTTTACTAAACCTGTTCTGGTTTACTCTCGTGGACTTTTAAAGGCAGCATGTCTAATTTTCAATTTTAATTTAATTCAACTTTACTACAGCCTTTAGTCTCTGAGACTCGAACTTTTCTCTCTGGCTGTCGGAGAAGCCCTAGAAGGAATCTCGCCTGCAGAACAAACACTGCTGTCCTGCCTGTGGTTGGTATAAAGGTCTGGGATGGTTTATTGCTGGTGTTGAACGTGTGTTACCTTTGACTTGGGGATTTTAAGCCACCGGTATTGTTAGCTGCTGCATCGGGCACTTCCTGGAGGCGGGTGTTTGTTCCCGAGGATAGCGGGGATGCGCTCGACTCTCCTGTCCTTAATCTCAGGAAATTTAATGTATGTAATCTTCACGTTTAACAGAAGGCGTGACACCAGCTGTAGCTTTGGGGTGGGAGGATGGGGATGCTCTGTTCTCCGTGTGTCCCCGGCACGCCGCTGATTTGTAAAGGTCTGTTTTCAGGGCTTCGAGGAGGCGTTGGGTTTCGGTGCAGCCTGCTTCGCCCGCTGCCGATTCCAGTCGCTTCCACAGGATGTGAGCGAGTGCTGCTGGAAAAGGCTTCCCACTTTCTGTGTAAACAGAGCTGCGCCTCTGAGGGAAGTTATTTTTCCCTGTGTATTTAGTCATGGCAGGCTTTGTTGTAAAACATTGATTCAGGCTTTGCCCTAACAAATTTTCTTAAGGTTGAACGTAAATAAGCTTCAAGCCCTCGGCTTTTGAAAAGCAGCATTGCGTGGGGATGTCTGCGAGGGCTTATAAAAGGTCTTGGAGCCAGAGCTAGGCTCAGATTCGGTCCAAATCTAGATAAAAGCCTGTGAAAAGAGGACTCTGATAATGTGCTCGATGGGCGTTTCTGCAGGTAAGAGCTCTTTTCGGAGCGCCTTTTCTGACCTGAGTGGGACCGTCTGTGGTTGGCGACATCCCCAAGAGATGCATCGAGGTATCTGGGCCGTGCTGCCGTTAACAGCTAATGCGGCTTTCTGATATAGCGTAGAAATTCAGGTCAAAATCCCTTTTCTGAACTCGCTTACGTCTTAGATGAAAGGAGAGCGGGGGTGACGCATCCACATCGAAAATTGTGGCTTGTGTTGAGCAACATGCAGAAAACGTGGATCTTGCCTTCAGGAGCTTGCTATTTCAAGAGCTGCAAATGTTTTCCTAGAGCTTTGGTTAATTCACATCGGACCATGCTGTGGACTGTGTTTGCTTCCCCATTTCTATAGCAGTTTTTAAGATATTTATCTTTGCTAGCTGAACACCTACTGAAACATCTGTGACTCGAAATGTTCGTTCCCCCCCCCCCTACTTAATATAGTTCAGGCAACAGTGATTTGCAACTCGGGCGTGCCGTATCTCTTCATATGTTTCAGACTCATTTTGAAACGCCTGTCTGGCTTATTTTGTTCTGTACTCGTGCAAATTTTGCAGTAATGTGGGCTTTTGAAGGGTTAAGGTGAGTTGGTAGAGCTACTTGAATTTATTTGGGGCTTCTCGTTCGGTTAATACCGACGTGCTGTGGTAACGCTCCCTTCCACCGCTGGTCTGGTCAAACCTCAGATCAGCGGTGACGGCCCCGTCGGCGCGTTGAGATGCGTTTAAGGACACCCCAGGTCTCCACGGCGAGCCGTGTTTGGTGAAAAGATGCTTTTATTTGAGTTGGCTGTGAAGGGACCGTGTTAGGAGGTGTCCTGCTGCCGAGCTGCCTCGTACTAGAGGTGTAAAGGCAACGGGCTGTTGCCGGATGCTGCAAATCATTACCAAAAATACATTCTAACCTTAGCAAAATCCGTATTTTCTGATAGACCTTCTGCCTAAGCAGAGCTCCCTGTGAAGCTGCAGAATTTATTGCTCTTGCTGTTACTGAGTGTACGGTCTGCCTGCAAGTGACACATTTCAGCAGGCAAAAGATCATCTCTGGTTTGCTGAGCGATTTGGGGGTTTCGGGGTAAAAAGCAGCTCATAAATGTAAAAATCTTGTTGTTGAGTCGGGGTGACTGCGGGAAGAAACTGTCCACCCCAAAGCTTTTTACGTCGGGGAATCCGTGATACGTATTAATGGTTACGGCTGGCTTTTTATCACGCTGGAGAGCCTGCGATGATACTAATGGTTTATTTG